GAAATTATGATTAGGAACAAATAAGTTATATGTTTGTAATCTTCTTTTGATTAACATTAATCGATTTATTAATAATAATAAAAAACTAATCGTGTTTTATAGAACGTACAATATACGTAGACGTATATTACACGCGGGATGATATAAATCATAAAAACAAGAAAAACATAAATATTTATTCCATTGTGAACATCTTACGAATAAATTTTAGAATGAATTTCATTTTAGAATGAAAAATTTCGTTCTCATCAAAATTGATTTCTGTAAGAAGCTATTTCCATAATGTCAATCAAATTTGCTTTCTGCCAGATATTAGAAAAAGTTATTGTGTCTGCAACAAAAATTTATTTGTAAGGTGTTCACAATGCAATAAATATTTATGATTTTCTTGTTTTTATGATTTATATCATCCCGTATACAATGTACGTCTACAACACACGATTAGTTTCCTATTATTATTAATAAATCGATTAATGTTAATCAAAAGAAGGTTACAAACATATGACTTACTTGTACCTAATTATATAACTTCCACTTTCTAATTTCATCAGAAACTGTAACAGTTTTCATTATAATCTTATTTATGCGTTCATGTGAATAGGAACAACGACGATAACGATAATAATAATAAATATTCCATAAATGAGTGTTTAATTATCTATTATACTAATATGTAATTTCATGAAATTTTATTACAATCAAAAAGTAATTAAAACTAATAACATTAAGTTAAAAAATAAAGATACTAATATTTTCATTTATACAGTACGTTTTTCAAATTATTACAATAATTATTTATAAAAAATCGATTTCTTCGAAACTATGGGCCAATGGCTGAAACGGCCGGACACGTATCGTTTTTTTCTCGCTCAAGAGCAGCCTGTAAAAAGCGTATCGAAATCCCCGATCCTGTCACCTGATGTTCCCCTTATTAGACAAAAATGGTAGAGTTTAATAAAATGTATTTACTGATTTTATTGGTTTGACCTGGGTAGCATCGCCAAGGTCAAGTCAAAGTTGAAGATGCCTCCCAAGGTCAAATCAATAAAACCAGTAAATACATCTTATTAAATTCTACCATTTTTGTAAGACATTTTTCTCAAAAATGCATACTTTCCGAGATATTAGACTGTTTTCAGATTTTTTAGTATATTTTTAAATGCTCATTTTTTACTCGGCTTCTCTAAGGCCCATTAGCGAGAACGGTTTTAGAGGTGTTCATTTTGGTAGATTCTTCTAACACTGATGCAAGTTTGATCAAAATCGATGAAGAGCAGAGCGTAGCCTCTCCTTGTTACTTTCAAAAATAAAGGGTGTTAAAAAATTTCGTTTTTTCGAAAAATTTTGAAAACCGAGTTATTTTGATGAAACTTTAAACGTATATAAAATGGTTTTTGAAATTTTTAGAAAAAATAAAAGTTTTCCTTCAACTTTGATATCCTGTATCTTTGAACCTAAGTCATTTCACATAGAAAATTATATGAAGGTTTTGTCTTGAATTTACGTGAGAAATTATCCCTTAAAATCTTCTAGCGTGCTTAGTGTATATACCCTGTATAATTTACTGTCCGAAAGAAAATATTATATACCATAAGTAATAATAGAATGTATATAAAAATTATCAAAAAAATAACGACAAAATAAAAAATTTTAAATAACATAACAATAATGTAATATATGACTAAACTTCCATATAGTAAATCAGAGTTCAAATTTTGAGATCATTCACTCTAATACATGTATTGTACTATATTGCGAAGAGAATAATGATTATTTTAAACTAATACTAACTCCATAGCTCTTCGTTGAATGTTGACGGCGCTAATTAATTTCTGATACATCAAGCGATTTTTTTGAGAAATTGATATATGTAAGGTATTTTCATCCAATGAATGTTCGATACGATAGCTATAAATATATACTTCATATCAATTAGAACATGTCTTGACAAACATTTGTAAACATCGAAGACTTTTACCGGGTAATTTTTAACATAGCACAAATATGTCGCATGTACGCTAAAACCATTGATGTAGTTGCTGTCATCACGAAAACACCAATAAATACAATTGTGAGAAATAAGTAGATATATCTTTCTTTATCGAATTGTTGCATTAAGGCATTTTGTCTTAAGAAAGATTCGTTAGCTATCGCTGATTCATTTATGTTGATCGGAATAAGATGCATTAGCACTAGAAAAAGCCAGCTAAACAAGCCGCATACTGAAAAATGTCTGAATTTACAAAAAAATTTATCTACAGCAGATTTGTTAAACAATGTAATTGTAAATCTATCTATATCAAACAGGATTCTTTTAGGAGATTTCTTACGAAGTAATGTTTCTGTAAGCCGTCTCGTAAACGTTCCATATCTCTTCGCTATCTCAATTTCTTTAGAATCTTTTAGCGCATTCCATTCTTCGCAAATCTGGTTTAATAATTTTTTCACCTATAAATAGTGTATGATATCTCTTTCACAAACTTCAAGCGATAAAATAAATTAAATTTTTTAATTAAATTTTTTAATTAAATTTTTTAATTAAATAAGAAAAATATTTTGTTGTCCTTTATATATTTAAGGTAATGTTTCAAAATGCTGAAAATAATCACGTTAAGATCAAATAAAAGCGGTTTATAGATTTAGACAACGATGCTTTGTATAATATGTATGCACGTGTGTGTGTGGATATGTCATATATTGTATTATTTCGTTTGTATAACGTATTCTTTTTGAAAGTAAATTCTTATGGATTTAGTATTTTTATAAATTTAAGATGAATAATGACTCACTTCTTTCGGTTTAATTAAAAAGGCGATGAATTGCAGTATACATAAAATAGCAGGAAAAATATCCGAACAGATCTTCAAAGCTAATTTGAAATTGTATTCATAAATAAACAATAACCTAAACTAAAATATAAAGATATAAAAATATGCGATAGTCATAACTCTGAAATATGTTATATTCTTTTGGTCAGCTTAACATATACCTGATAAATCACGAAGCAAATAAATATTCCTAATATGGACATGGCTCGTACGTACCGGAATTTCGTATTTTGATAAGGCCACAAACCGCATATCACTAAAGAAATTCGATTAATATTATAATACCAACTCTCGAGCACGGTCATCTTTCCATGAATGCCAAACCATATATGCGTTCGATGACGACGAAAACTTTTTTCTCCCCTCTATGAGGTGTTAGAGATAGTCGAAGCACATGACTGATGCAAATAATAATAATTGCAAAATTATTCGGAGTTGTATGCAAAGCACGAGGAAAGTCTCGATCGATTATATACTTATATCTCTCAATATTTTTGTGAGAAAGAAAATAAGCTCGAATTATATCAAACACGCAACTCCTCATAACAATTTTTGAGAGGGAATAAAATAAAATTTATGAGATATATTTTAAATTAACACGAACATATATATAAACAAGTAAGATATTATCATTCAAGTTTCAACTACTGCACGCTACGTTACTTTATTTTACTAATATTTAATGAAGAACAGGAATTATTAAATTATAGATCAAGAAACGCAATCTTAAAACAGAGTTATGTTAAGAAGTTATATTAATATTATAATTAGAAAATAATGTAATAATTATATTTTTTAAAGCAATTAAAAAGCGTATTGCAATTTGAAAGATAGAGGAATACGCAAGAAATATTTTACGAATAAACAACGTTAAACAATATTAAGAAACTTTATTTTAGACTGCATATGTGAGAACACAATCAATATTAGAAATTTAAATCCTTATAACGGTCGAAGCTAGATACGACGATGATTAAATAATTCAATCTTGAATTACTATATATATTATATATATCATATTTGTAGTCCTTCGAAGTATATATAATAATTTAAGATTGAATTATTTATACTATTTAAAGCATTAAAAGATCCAGCTTTGTCTGTTATATATTTTAATTTCTAATATCGATTGTGTTCTTACATATGCGATCTAAAATAGATATTCTTAATATTGTTTATATTACGTCGCCTGAAAGAAAGACGTTGTTTCTTTACATGTACCGATTATTGAGAAGAATATTACTAAGGCCTCGGTGATCTAAAGGCTTAAGATTCGTACGGAATACAAGAGATCCGGATTCGACTCCCAAGGTAATATTTTTCGTAATAAATTTATTAACAGTTTTTCAACATAATAACATCTTTATAATATGATGCCTGATTGAGCACCAAATTATTAAAATTGCTTGTCAATTTAATTCGCGATTACTAAAATAGTTTAATTGCGTTTATAGGACTACAAATATGGTATATATACAAGTACATATTATATAGTATATATAGTAATTCAAGATCGGATTGAACAACGTTAATCTTTTATATACAATAAAATCTCTTTATATGCAAAAAAATCATTAAAATATTTATTCTAACATGCGATTGATATCACAAAAATGAATGAACGTACTCAGAGAAAGATTGTTTTAATTTAAAGAAATGTTATTTTGCGGTTAACAAAAAAATTTCTTTGATTTGAACGTTATTTCTTTGATTTAAACATTATTTTTTGAAATCAAATAAAATTTATTCGATTTAAAAAAAATATGTCCAAGAAATTTTTTTTTTAACCGTATAGCAAAGAAATATTTCTTTAAATCGAAGAAATCTTTCTCTGGACGCAACATTATAAGATAGAATAATATCGATAAAAGCATATCAATAAATACAAAGAACATGTAGAAAGGAAGAAACATTAGAATTATGCATAATAATTAAATAAATTCTTAAAAATAAAGTTTATTAGAATCTGTTATGTATAAAATCTCTTGAATATTAAATAAAAAATACATAAGTAACGAAATATATTATTTATTAATGAAATAAATAGTAAAAACAATTTCCTTATTTAATAAAATTATATCTTCCTATTTTATTCTACTGTGGAAAATTTCTCCATGTATATTACTACGAATAGCTACGCTTTCTGTGTTAGATTATGATGAAACTACTGTACTACAGGAGTAAATTACCATCATGAAGGATATTGACTTGTTCGTGACCTATAACAAATAATCCAATGAAGCTGATAGCTTGTTGATAGGAGACCACTATCGCACTCTCCATTTGCGCTATCCTACCGAGGTAAAGCTTTCCATTACTGAAACGTATACGCCACCAAGATTCGGTACAAGGCCTTTCGAGGAGATTTGCATTATAAACAATAACAATTTCTGTACTGTTACAGGTGCTTTGTACCACAGCGACATGTATCTAGAAAAATATTTAATTTATTACTGATATACTGACTTAATATCTATTAAAAAAACGTAATTAGAATTACATTTATTATGCTAGTGCAGCATAATTAAAGAAACCATAAGCATAAGTTATCGTTTTCTGTTGCTAATTTATTGCTTTATTCGCATTTAAAATGTTGCGCAGACAACACGGAGTAGTTGAGGATGGTTTCTAAAGATTAAGAATGGAGTAATATATTGGAATTAAATTAAAAATTGAAAATTATATGTATACAATATCACACACAGAACATTAAGAGAAAACGGAATAGTTCTGGCAACTATTTCGTTAGCAACTCTAAAATTTAAGCATCTGTAACTAAATTGGTAAAGTAATGAGAACGAAAGTAGTGCTGAATACTACACAAATAAGTGACGGCAACAATAAATATGAACTACTAATTAATAGGAAAAAATAATGACTAAACTATAACAGTTGTACAAACTTCATGCACATAATACGATATAATTACATCCTTCCGGTTTTGACAAATACATTTTTAAAATGAAGAATAATGCCATAATAACTAATTAATTATTGTTGAGATAACTTCAAAAAATTCACTTTACAGCCTATTTCCAAGTTGCACAATTCATTGGAAATTGGTTAAATGTTGGCATATATTGGGAATATATTCGGCCGATATTGTGCGAATAAATTGTGCTATTAGGGTTGATTACTTATTTCTTTCTATTCTTGTTTAATTACATATGCACGCACGCACGCACGCACGCACGTACGTACGCACGCGCGCGGGCGCACATACACACGCGCGCGCGTAATATATATACATAGCATACATGTATATATGTATAGGATATTTGACATTAAGTAGAACACCATTTATGGACGAGTAGAGCTGACTAAACTGAATCGAAAAGTCCTGTATCATTTTGTAATTTTTGTAACAGTTTACAAGAAATTAATTATTAAAGATCGCCGAATGAGCGTGTCTGGCCTATCTACTGCCAAATATATACGTGGTAAGATACGACTGTCCAGCGCGCGGAGTTGTTTTCGATAAAAGTTTAGATTAGAGGAACACCCCCTTTCCCAATGACCTTGACTTTGACATATGTTGTCATGATCACGGTTGTCAGATCCCGAGCACTGTACAGCTGGGGCCCGAAGATCCATGCACTGGAGATTTCATATTTCGACTGGAGGCCGGTCGATTGTTTCATTGAAAAAAAAAGAGAAAAAAGGCGCAGAGTTAATTCGTGTTTTGCGACTATTGTTGCAAACTTTCTTTTTGTTATTAATATTTGACCAACATAAAGTGTCAACACAATCACACAGAGACCTTTTTATTATTATTACAAGATTACATACAGTGCGAACACAATTACAAATTTTTTTATTATTCGTAAAAAAACATAAACTCCGAACATAATCACAGACTTTCTTATTACTTTCTTAATTTAAATATGCAATTAATAAATACTTCACGCGAGCGAAAAACTGGAGATTTTTCCCGTCTGCTGGAGAACTGGAGATTGGTCTCGAAAACTAGAGTCTCCAGTCGAAATCTGGAGACATGGCAACCGTGATCACGATCCTGAGTGACCTCCAACAGGCTTTAGCGGTCGCTCGTTATTCGTTAAAAAGTTATTAACAAAATAAGTTTAAAAAATAACATCTCTTTTCTCTATTACATAAAACAAAAATTTTCTTAGGAAACATTATCTTTTTATATAATTTTTATTTTTAAGTGTGCCTAGGGGCACACAATTTTCCACGAGAAGTGAGTCTATTCCACGTCTCTACCTGCTAAAAGGCGTCCGACTTTCTACGCAAAGCGACTTCCACTCCATCTCCCCCTGCCTATTTACGACTTTTTACGCGACTTCCACCCCATCTCTCTCCTGCCACGGAGCGTACGACTTTCCACGCGAAGTGAAGTCTATCTCATCTCCCCCTCTGCTTAGGGGGTTCGATTATCCACACACACAGGCTCACCTTGCACTTTCTTTAATATGTTTCCCCTAGACAGGAGAGAAGGTAGAGTGGAGCTCGTTTCGCACGGAAAGTCGTGTGCCCCTAGACAAAGGGAGAAGTAGGATATAATTCATTTTGCGTAGAAAGTCGGACGCTTCTTGGCAAAGGGGTGGACCTCGCTTCGCGTAAAAAGTTGTACTTCTTTAGTCGGCCCATCCCATACCTCTTGCCTTGCCTAGAGTCATCCGACTTTTCATGCAAAGCAGGAAATTAATTATCAACTTTGATTGTTGATAATTTTTAGATGAATAAATAACGACTAAAACTTGTTGGAGATCATTCAAGGTCATGACCTTAACAACATATGTCAAGGTTAAGGTCAAGGTCATTGGGGGGTGCTCCTCTAATCTAAACTTTTACCTACGCGCTTATTTGGTGATCTTTACTTTCTCATCGTCTATTACGAAAACTACAAAATAATACAGAACTTTTCGACTCACGATCAGTTTAATCTGCTTTATCATATATATATATATATATCATACGTATATATAAAATTATTAATTATTTATATATAATAATTCTACACAAATATAAGTACAGACTTTTTAAATTTGTTTGTATATAATTTTGTATAAAAAATACGAATGTGTTACTCACATTGCGTTAAATAATTCATCAGCATGGTTTACCATTTGTTGCCCCATAAAAGCAGTTCCGAAGAGATAAAACTCATGTGCAATAATATAAAGTATTCTTATTAAAACTTCAGTCCATTTATTCATGCATATTACTACGTTTGCAAACTATTAACATATTAGTAATAAAATGATTTAAGTAATCATAATTATATATAAAAATTTATTTACACATGTGTATGTCTATGTACGTGAATGAAAAAATTTTTTTAATTCTAGCAAACATATTTTATTTATAAATGTATTAAAATTGGACTTAATTAATTAAAAAATAATCTTTATTTACAATATAAAATATCTCAATTTAATTATAGTAAACTAAAACACTAAAATTAAAAAATGATTGCTTGTTGAATAGTTTATTTGAATTAAATTCTGGTTTAGTATATTTCAATACCATATTTGTGTGTTGGAATATAGTAAATGAATTTTTTAAATACTAAATCCAAGTCTTTTGATTTAAAAAATGGCATTTTAATAAATATTTGTTTAAATTCATGTTTCTAACGTTATAAAAATAATAGATACATATTAAATTAAACTCTTTAATGAAGTCACTCACTCACGAGCAGTACGCGGCACCGTCGGTAAATGGGCACGGTGAGGCTCTATTTCTCGTAAATAAAAAACCGCATAGGAAAAAATAAAAATGCAGTATTATGAGACTTTTCATCCGTATTCTAATGAAAAAATGATAGAATGATGCCTTGGAGGCGAACATTCAAAATTAGGCTTCAAGATGAAAGCAAATAAAGTGTATTTTGACATTACAATTCCGTTTAATATTCGAATGTTAAAAACTGTGGTTTTTTGCACGTATTACGGCACTAATAGTTTATATTTATATTTAGACAATTAATTATGAAATTACAGTGCTGTAATGCGTGAGCGAAATCATAAGTTTCAATACTCAAAAAACAGTTTAAATGTATAAGTTATAACATAGATGTTACAAAAGAGGAGTTACTTACTCTGTATAAATTTGCGATGAGGGAACATATGCCTATTACTAGGATACTAAGAAAAGATGCCGTAAAACTTGTCATTAACAATTTAAAAATCCTTGAAAGCGTAATAAATCAAACAATAGAACCTTTTATTATTAAGCGAAGAATTAATAGTTTTGCCATATAATTAGTTTTAGATACTTACTTTTGTGCATTTCGATGAAGCTCCACTATTCTAATTATTCTTTCGACGATAACGCTTCTCTTGTTACAGCACGCTATTATCTCCTTCTTGTCCATGAAATGTACTATTCGATAACTGATGACATTAAGTTGTCGTTAAGCAAACAGTACGATTATTCATTTTCTTACTGTATCATTTTAAGAAAATATTGTTAAAAGTTTCACATTTTTTACATTCCTTTGCCTTACCTACAAATTTTGAATATTGCGCAGCAGTATAAACTAATTAATAGAAGCATCGTACTGATAGATATTAACGAAACAATACCAATCATCATACTTATTGAAGAATAAAAGAATAAAGAATAAAACTGTATTCTAGCATTTATATTTATGTGGTATTCTTGCAAGGATGATAAATAATGTGTACGTGATTCGTTTAATGGTTGAAAAAAATCCAGGATATCCGGTTGAAATTCCATTATTAAAAATAAAAGCGACGCAGGTATTAGCAGCACTAAATTATATAAGATATGCCATACATTATAATATTTTTATCAATTTTAAATATAAATTAGTTAAAACATGTTTTATGCATAGAGATAACATTATTGCATACATATCAAAATAATTGTAATGTTTTTTCCTTGATGAACATAATGTTCTACTATTTTAATTTCCTGCGCATCTGTCAATATTCGCCGATTATTAATAATTTCTTTTAACATCTGTTTTAGCTGTATTAAGTGAATTTTAAATTAGGCGGAATCTCAAACAGGTGTAAAAATTTTTAATGATAATTAATTTTATTAATTAAAATCAGAGCTGAACTTACTTTCCTAGTTTCGAAGAAAAACATGTTAAATTTTATAACATGCGTAAAAGTTGGTAAAACATCCGACAGAATTCTAATAATGACATTTACATTAAAATCAATTATAGCAAGTTATGCAAACTAGAAAAACACATATCTCTATGTTAAATCGTGCATTTAACAATATAACTAATTCAACGTTTCATTCATTTTGTATAGGACATTTTTTAAATTCTACCAACAAATTCTTTTTACGGCATAATTTTTAACCAATTTAAAATTAAATAATAACTTAAATAAAATAATTATTCATCCAATATGCTTTTAAGGAAGAAGCTTTAAGTGATATGTAATAATTTTTATAAAAACATTTTTTAAACAATTCTGGTTATT